AGACAAAATAAATGCTAGAACTATGTTAAATTCATTTACTTCCTATCATTTCTATATAGATTTCATAAAATTGGCCCACAGTCTTAAATTTATTATAATTATGATGGATATATTAGTAAAATACTCCATCCCTTTCAGTCTATTAGAAACACTAATGAATTCTAGGCTTAAACAATAAATAGCACATTGTAGAACAGTAGTACTGTTTAAAAACTGAACTCAGTTGAATTAATCAGACATGACAAGATATTTTTATGATTTTAACAGAAGCTTAATGAACAATGTTGAAAAGATTTAAACACTTTTAAAATAATATATCTAAATGGTGTGAATTACGGTAACACTGCCTTTGAGAAGAAATCATCAATTTTGGATTTAACATACAGGATGGCACCCTAGGAAAACGTTAAAAAGTCAGGAGAATTGTACCTTTAAGAGTGGAATTGACTAATGAAAATATACATTACCAGAGTCACCTCCTGGGATGCCTAGATATTTACTTATGATGCGAACATTTTCCTGCTTAGAAACAGCAACACTGACTGTTTAGCTCTAACTGGCAGGTCCCACATGCCATAGCAACAACAGAGCAAGAAAACCAGGAAAATGTTTTGCTCAATGATTTTTTTCATTTTTTAAAAGCTATTGAAACATAGTAAGCATAGTTATTTTTAAATCCCTGCCTGATAATTCTAATTTTTTTGTTTGTTTGTTTATTTATTTATTTATTTTGAGACAGAGTCTCACTCGGTGGCCAGGGCTGAAGTGCAGTGGCATGATCTCGATTCACTGCAACTTCCACTTCCTGGGTTCCATTGATTCTCGTGCCTCAGCCTCCTGAGTAGCTGGGACTATAGGTGTGAACCATCATACCCAGTTAATTTTCTTATTTTTAGTAGAGAAAGGGTTTCACCATGTTGGTCAGGATGGTCTCGAACTCCCGACCTCATGTGGTCCACCTGCCTGGGGCTCCCAAAGTGCTGGGATTACAGGCGTGAGCCACAGTGCCCAGCCAGATAATTCTAAAATCTAAAGCTGCAAAGTCTAACTCAGCAGTTACTAGCTACATGAGGCTATTGAGAGCTTGCAATGTTACAACTAGTTTAAATTGAGAAGTACTGTCAGTATACGGTGCACACCAAATTTCAAAGGTTTACTGTAAAAACATCAAATGTCTCATTATTCATTTTTCCATTGATGACATGTTGAAATAATAATTGTGGTTATAAACACAAACGGTGAGGTCTACACACTGAGCCGGTAATGTATATTTTCATTAGTCAATT